GATTGTTGATTTATCGCGTTGTTTCTCCCGTAGTATTGCGATGAATAAAATGTCTAACTTCATCCCAACATGTGCCACTCTATTGTAGTTTGAAGTAGCTTGAAGTAGTTAGTTTATTTCGTGCATGTATGTTTGTAGCTACAACCGAAGACGCCAGCACCTGGTCCATTATTTTTGGGCAAAACGCGATTTGCATTAGCGTTGCGAAACATAAATATATTTCCATTAAAGATAGAGTCGCGAAAAATATACAATGATCGTGTTTGCATGTAGAGTTGCGAATTCCTATTTTTCGCGTTTCCTTTTCAGGATAGTGTTGCGAATTCCATACGCGATTGCTGTTATTGTTATTTAAGAATAGCGTTGCGAATGAATTGATCGGTTTTCTCTTAGCGTTGCGAATCACTATTTTTCGCGTTTGCTTTTCAGGGTAGTGTTGCGAGCAATCACCATTCGCGGTTGCTTTTGTGGTTATAAATCGCGTTTGGAATTTTTATACTATAAATTAGAGTTGCGATCTTGATTTATCGAGTTTTTATTAATTAGTTTTGCGATTCAATGCCCAAAATATGACGCTGGCCACTGCTTCAGGATCATCACGACTCAGCTGTACTTAAAGAAAGCCTCGAATGGCTCAACTTTCTTATTAAAATTAGTGTTGCGTGTTATTTAATATGGGTGCACGCGATTTAATTAATAAAGTAACCCTGTATGGTTAATTTTTCGAATAATAAGCACTCCTCGCGACTTTTGTATTTTGTAAATTAGCGTTGCGAAAGAATGGTCCACTCACGGTTTGCTATTTGAATTTACAAGTGGACAATTTATTCTATGTGAAATATATCTTTTTTTATATATTTGTCAATAGAAATATTACTTGAAAGTGCTGTTGTATACAAATGTTTCATCCTTCATAACGTGTAAAACTTTGTATTTTTTATGAACTCATAATTTTCATGTATTCATACATTTTTATCACAGATTTGTGATGTATTTTAAAATGCTATATTTTTTATTAAATTGATCGTAGATTGAATTTGCGATTTCAATGTGCAATGTATGTCACTAATTATTCATTGTTAGAGTTGTTAATTTTTACGGGATATAGTGACTTTTACGACTGCAATATTTCTTTATAAATAGTGGATTTTTTTATAAATATTCGAAATTCTTTGCAAAAATCAAAGTTTGTCCGCGATCGTTGTTTAAATCGATGAAAAATAAAATACTTGCATCAAAAGGGTATGCAAAATTGCAATTTAATATTTCATATTGAGAGTTCATTTCCGCGTAGAATCGATATCCGTGTTCGTTATTGCTTTTTCTGTACGAACCTAACTTAGTATTCAATACAGTAAAATATAATTATTGCAATTTACAAGCTTTGCAATTTTTTCAAGTTTCTTCAAAATTGTTATCTTCATCGTGTAATATTTAAAGTATATATTCTTGTAAATATTTATTACTATATCAAGAATGAAATTTAATTCACGTATGTAATAAAAAGAAAATTCTTTGATTGCTCAATTTTGTAACCGTCAATTTTATTTGAGAAACGAAACGATAAATAAAATCTACGGGAACGAATAAATAAAATTTTCAATCAATTTAGTATTCATCTTAACAATGAAATGAATTTAACTTTTCATTCAACTTCGATCACGTGATATTTATGTTTCTAAATTTTATAATATCAATTTTGCAACGATCGATGAACATGAGTCTTGACAGTACATAATTGTTCTTTTTTGTGTCCACTAATACATTTTCATTCCAGCAACTAATCCTTTGAAAAAGTTCTTTTTACAGAATATATAAACATAGAAGAATGGAATTGAAAAGGGTAAATGGAGACTCCATATGTTAAAAGTTACAAGATACAAGATTCGAATTTCATTGTTTCTTAGGGAAGTACCTATCTCATACAGTTTTATTTATTGTCTGAATTTATGTTTCAGGAAAACATCGTGGGATTAATGAAAACACCAAGAAGAATATCCTCTCATGTTTCTTTGTTTTATGTGAATTATATTTATTGTATATGAGTGTATGTTTCAGGAAAACATCATGGGATTAACGAAGACACCAAGAAGAATATCTTCTCATGTTTCTTTGTTTTATGTGAATTATATTTATTGTATATGAGTGTATGTTTCAGGAAAACATCGTGGGATTAATGAAAACACCAAGAAGAAAACATCCTCTCGTATTTTTTTGTTTTATGTGAATTATATTTATTGTATATGAGTGTATGTTTCAGGAAAACATCGTGGGATTAACGAAGACACCAAGAAGAAAACGTCACATTTCTTCATGTTTCTACAAATTGCGTTAGAATTAAGTATAAATGTATATAGATTATAAGATAAATAAGCGAATTCCTGCGCCTATGTTAAGTACTACCGAAACCCAAAAGTCCACATTTAAATAAAAATGATTAATATTAAGATACATATAAATATTCCACAAGACAAGGTTCATACGTGCAATTGCACATTACTTCGTTCTTCAGTGTCTTATTAGACACTATCAAAATACAACGTTGATTAGAGTAGAAACAATTGATATTAAATCACATATTGGTATTCTAATACCAATTGGTCGTCAGAGTTCGTACGTGCAGTTGCACATTACTTCGTACTTCAGTGTCTTATTAGACACTATCGAAATACAACGTCGATTAGAGTGGAAACAATTGATATTATATCACATATTGGTATTCTAATACCAGTTGGTCGTCAGAGTTCGTACGTGCAGTTGCACATTTTTATTTCGTTTCTGGATAACATGTCATCTCACATGTATCCACAATTTGTTAGATTGGTGGTCTTTCTTCTGAGAACTATTAGTTTGTTGTTAGTTTCTATCAACGGTCGAATTTTGATCGCTTTTCTCGTAGGAGAAAATCTCCAAAGGTGTTTGTTAGGATTCCTCGCCAAAGGAGGGTGGTTGGGGCGAGGCTGGGGCGGGTCTCCATTCGCAGCAACCTCCACGTGGTGAGACCTGGGTCATTATTATTTAGTATGTAATTAATTTTATCGCTTGTTACCGCATACTATAATCATTAATTACATAGCAAATAATATGAGCTAATGGCTGCGATCTTCTTCTAATAGTTTCGCATACGTTTTTCAGAAACTATTCCATTTGTCGTAACAATTGCAAAGATATTTCATTGTGTGCCAAGTTCCCACAAAAATTCAGATACACTCGTCGAATACAGATCGATTTAGGTTTGGATCACTTTCAAATAAGTACTTTCGGTATACGTAGTTTTATTTCTCTCCATGAATGACGTTGAAAAAGTATTAAATAACATTTCCGTACAGCGTCAAACAAATTTATTAAAAATGAAAAACGAATTTTTAAGAAAAATCGACAGGGGGTAGGTGCCTAAAAAAAAAATTTCAAATCGTTCTGAAAAAATTATTTCCAATTGCAGGAGTCAATTACAATCATTTTTGGTGAATAGACATACCCTCGAAATCCTACGCACTTTTGAGAAAAAAATTCGAGTAAGTGCTGAAATTTTTGGGCGAAATTGAAAAGTTTCAAATCGTTCTGGAAAAATTATTTTCGATTGTGGGGGTAAATTAGAATCATTTTTGGTAACAAACATATCCTTGAATTCCTACGCATTTTCGAGAAAAAAATTCTTGTAGAAGTTACCCTAAATAGGAATCGCGATTGTAAAAGAAGTATATGAACACGAGGTATATGAATACACCTTTCACTTTATGGACCTTGATGACTCAATCTGACTGCCATATCGAATTATTTTTTAAATAAATGATGTATTACAATTTAAAATAAAAAATAGAGGATTTTCGGTGTAGTTGTCAATGAAGCACATCCTTTCGTATTTTAGTAATCTTGAAATCTTTAAATAATCTTAATCGATTGGTTACTCCAATGAAATTAATCGATTGATGCTTAATTCTGGGCCATACAGCTTTCATTCCGTTAAAAAATACTAAAATTTATGTAATTTCATTTTCTGTCTTACTTCCTCTTGTGTTTATTTCTAAATCTGTTGGTAACGTTGCGAGTGACACGAAAATGGTAATGGGGCTCTAGAGCCCCAGAAAAATGGGGCGAAAAAATACATTGGGTGAAAGGTATACGAGTATACCTCGTCTGAGATATCAATAGAAAAAGTATTCCGAAATAGTAGTGAACCCTATTAGATACATATTGAGTTCGTGTATAATATATCGTGTAATATATAGCTATAATTCTATTTATTGTTATTGTTATATGACATACTGTTGTATAAGTTAAAGTATAGCATTCAGAATTTAATAAACTATGTTACTTTTAAGGAAAATATATATACATTATATATTTTTTTGCATTTACGAAATTTGTATGACAAATAATTTTATATATAAATAGAAAGATAAATAGTCTTGATTGCATTTAAATTAAAATTATCAAAACAGTCTGTCAATTGGGGGTATAGCTCAGTGGTAGAGCATTCGACTGCAGATCGAGAGGTCCCCGGTTCAAACCCGGGTGCCCCCTGATTTATTTTTTTTCCCCCCACTAATAATAGGTATTTTAATATTAACATAAATAAAGTAATGCATAAATGTATTTTTATGTTGTATCGCATAATAAAAAACATTATAGCATCGTATATGTACTTCTTATTAAAATGTTATGTACGTACTACTAGTATTTACTATAATTTCATTATTATCCAACAAAATTAATTCTTTTATTTACTTTTAAAAGTGTTACATACGCTCTAATGTTATTATTACTTAAATTAATCAATATTTATGATATCAAAGGGTAAATTTTTAATTCGATACGATTCAATTTAATTGCCAACTTAACTAATCGGCTTGGAATGCTTTCTAACAAAAGCTTTAAAGGTATTAACATTTTTTAAGAGTATATGTATGTATTGAGTTGAATATTAAAATCGTGAAATATGAATAAATGACTACATGGACTGCAGTAATGTAAGAAGTGCATTTGTTCAAGATGACAGAATCACGATGTGTTGGGAGTGGGAAATTCCGCAGTGACTGACGGGGTATGGCGACGTGTAACATGAACTGTTTTACTGTTTTCGATTTCCGGTGCCCAAATAATTAAATCTAAACCCGCAAGCAATAAATATTTCGTTATATCTGGTGTATTTTTACAAGCAGTACGGCAAATTCAATTGTACAATCATGAATTACAATCATTCAAGTGCACGTCGAGGTGAGTTTGTTGAATCTTGAATGTATGACGTTATCAGAATGTTTTTTTTCTTCATAATATTTTGTGATGTAGATGCGTTGTTTCCATTAGTTAGTATTTACAGAAAATAATAATCTTCTACAGAATATGGGGGTCATAACAGTGTAAAGTATGGTATAGATTAACGTAGGAAGGTTAGGATTTGTATGCCTTTTTTATTTAGTAAATGGTGACATTCATTTATATGTTACAATAGTCTCATATTTGACATTTAAGTTTTAAATTCAGTATTATTGCGCCAATTAATCGTATAATGTTTTTTGTATAATTAATTTAAATAATAAACATTTCTAATAGGAAAACCAAAAAGGATATTAGATCCGAATGCTGGTTTAGCTACGTCATTTATGCCGCAGAATCCATATATGTACGATCAACAGGTAAATTTAAAGAAAGATAAGTAATATAAAAGTATTTTATTATAGAATATATAAAATTATACTTTTAATCTTTTAAAGCAAGTTCCTATGAACAATGGTATGGTACCTGAGTATGGTTTCAATGTACCAGAACAACCCCCGCCAGCGTATGGATTCAGTCCATCTCCAATACCAAATTACCCACCTAGCGAAAATTATGGAGAAAATTATTCGCCACAATTTACAACACAATTATTAACGCAACCAGTAATTACAAATATGGCTGTACAATATGGAAATGCTTTGGTAGGGACTGGGAAACAGCAATTTGAAAGATTTGTGCCAATTACAGCTTTAAGATACTATTTTGCTGTCGACACAGACTATGTTTTTACAAAACTAGCCTTGTTGTTCTTCCCGTTTTCTCACAAAGTAAGTATTACATAAGATGTAGCAAATATGTGGTACAACTGGTAAGAGAACGATTTTTTGTGCAAAATTAAAACCGATAACGTGAAATAAAATTTGTACGCGCGAAGCTTCATTTCCATATTAGTTTTATACATAGAATTATCGTCTTGCCAATCGTACCATCTGTTTTACCGTACCCTGCAGATGCGATACTTAACAATCTATGTGTCTTTGAGTAGATATAAATGATTGATATTTTTAATAGGACTGGTCTCTGAAATATGAACAGGGTGTACCATTGCAACCACGTTACGAGAAAAATGCGCCTGATATGTATATACCAACAATGGCGTTTTTAACATACATAGTATTGACTGGATTAGTTTTAGGGATTTCTGAACGCTTTAATATAGAGGAATTAGGTATTGGAGCTAGTTCTGCTCTCGCATGGGGCATTATGGAACTGGTAGTGCACACTGTAACTCTCTATGTAATGAATCTTGAAACGAGTCTTTCAACATTCGATTTATTGTCTTATTGTAGCTACAAATACGTTGGAATTAACGCGGCTCTTCTAGGTGCATTAGTATTTCGAAAACTTGGTTATTACACAGTTTTGCTATACTTTAGCGGATCTTTAGCTTTTTTCCTTACGCGGTCGTTAAAATTGAGGGTTATACCACAGAATCATAGTTCTTATACAGCTTATGATAACAAAAGGAGACTCTATTTTATATTGTTCGTAGCAGGAATTCAGCCGGTCTTCATGTGGTGGTTATCATATCACTTAATTTAATCGGTAACCACGTAAAACAACTGGAAGTATGTTTTGAAAACGTATATCCATGTGATTATTCATGTATCTTATTATCATTTACGCATTTTTCTAATAAAAACATTCATTAAAAGAATTTCTACTAATTAAGCGACCCTACTATTTGTAATATACGCTGAAAAGTAAAATGTATATTAGTTCTGTATTTATGAAAAAGAAACGTGAAAAATCATTGGTAATTGGTTTTTGAAACTAGTACATTTTTTAACCCTTAAGTAGATGCACGGGAGTTTGTAAAGCTTCCAATTTGTTTCTTTCTATTTAAATTATAAATAAATAGTACTTTTGTCATACTTTTTTTATGTAAATAGTGTGAGTTTTTTAAAATTGGAGTAAAAAATAACCAACATTAGCAAATAGCATATAATATACTCCAGTAAGTGTTTTCTAAAAAGCCTCTGTGTGTATATACTTAAGGGTTAAATAAATTTGTCTAAGGGTCAGGCTTGTTTGTTTTTATTTAATGTAAACAAAATTAATTTATTCAGTTGGTGCATATGAAATATTTTCTGTAATTTCAACTTTATGATATGATGACATGAATTAAAACATCTTTAAGTTTTAATTGTTCTTTATTGTTTTGTAAAGGAAGAATTTTCCTTTAGAAACTTAAACTAAGTTTCACATTTGAAAAAGGTTTTGTTAATATAAGATGTGGATCATATACTATTGAAAATTAAATCAAAAACAAGGTCACTGTTTGGCAAAAGTTAAGGAAAGTAGATCAATAAGCAGATGTCACACAAGTTCTTGCATGATATAACAAAAATTTAGAGTTTTTCTTCTCTTAATTTTTGCCAAAAGATCTTCGTTTCTGTGAGTATTTGAATTATTTTCGACAACATAAATTGTTTCGAAATAAATCGATAAACGCAGAATTCAAGTTTTGATTTTGTTCAAATTGCAATGAAATTAATAGATTCTTGGTAAAAGTTTTCGATTAAATACAGGAATTTTTACATTTTTGAAGGTTAATTGCATAAACTGACCGTTCACGTTCATCAACTCGATAAAACAATTTACGACAGTGGTTCTTAACCTTTTTTTTTATACCACGTTCCTCAGAATATCGAAAATCCTGATTGCTCAAATATAATACACCAAACAGGATAATGAGAAACTTACAAACAACATCCGAATCCCTGAGATTTTTTTAGTTTCAATTCTAGTAAATTTTTGGTTCTAAGATTTACCAGTTTATCCTTGGCTAAGTTTGCATCTTCGTTGCAGCGTGTATTAGACAGGAAAGGATTATGGATCCACGTTCATTTTAACGTCATCAAGATAAAAATAATTGTTATAGAAGTTCTGTAGTGTTTCCAAGTATTTGCAAAATTTGTTTCATAAATAGATATTGTTAGAGAATTTTTTATTTCAATTTCGATTAGCATTTGAATGTTTTCAAAGGTATGAACCCCTACGTTTCTCTTCTACATATATGTATTAGGAGCTTAGCTAAAAAAGTTCGTAATTTCTCTGAACAAGATATATGATAAATTCAGGACATTGAATAGAAAAATTCATTTTAGTCTAACAGTTATAAAGCATCAACAAGTTAAAGTTGATATTTTTAGATATAATGTATATAACGAAAATAACTATTACAAATTTTTTGTGTGCTGGTTCATAACCCTCGGATATCTACTTATCTATGACCCCTTTTTTTTGTAACGAACGTTTATTGCGCCAAGAAAACAATTATAAATATATATACAAAGGGGTACAATAAACCTAAACGTACAAACGGCTATCTTATAACTAGGATTACAATTTAGACTAATGGCTCAACATAGAGCTGTGATCCCCATGAGGTCCATGGACCACAGGTTAAGAACCACTGCTTTATGGTAAACGTTACCGATCGAACCGTCGTTCTTCGAACGAAATTTCATAACAGGTACATAAACCAACCACGTTTAATTCGCGCGCCGGCCGAAAGGTGTCTACGTACTTTTCCGTAACTCTTCGTTGGATCGTAAAAGTGTCGTTCGTATGGCGCCACGAGCGGGCTTAGTCAGTCAGCCGCGAGACGCGGTGAACTGGAGGTGTGGTGAGTGTTTCTGTGGGCCGACGGGCCAAAAATGGCGGAGCGTACGAAGACGACAGCCCCGGCCAACCGGCCCGTTCCCATGAAGCTGTTTGCCACTTGGGAAGTGGATCGTACAGCGCCGAACTGCATACCCAGGTAATCAATAATCCGCTCTCGATTTTCGTACGGTTTTCGTTTTTTACGCGACAATCGTGTCATTATCCCGTGTCACAGTGGACGGCAGGGACTCGGCGGGCATTCACACGCCCTTTTTTTCCAGGATCACTTGCATTTTTCGATTCGCACCCTTGACTCAAGGGCGCCTGTCTTCGCGTACCGTTTCGATCTCGCGCCGGATCAACTTGTTTCTTTTCTAAGATAAGCGTCCTAGGTTATTCGGGTTGCGTGCCTGGTCGGGACTGCGTGGCGCGCTCTGTCTATCGTTGGATGCTAGCTGTCAATCGAACGTGACAGATCTTCAAACACGGATCGTAATCTCGATCTTCGTTCTCTCTTTGCTTCAATCGCACCTCGGTATCAGTCAATCGATGCTAATTCCCTGCAATTCTCTTTTATTCCGATCTGTTTACGTTCGCGATATTTAATGAGACGGGTAAATAAGACCGAGCCAAGTGCGAAGTAAAGAGAGAGTTAAGTTTCGGCCGGGTCCACCAATGCGAACCTCGGTAGAATCGTGCGGCGTTGCAGCGGCGGATGGTTAGGCGCGAATCAAACAAACGACAAGTTAAACAAACATCATTTCAGTGGTGCCCCGCGTAATACGTGAAAGTTTACGTTTCTGTTGAAAATGAGTATCGTCGCGATGTCACGGTGTTGTCTGTTTCTCTAGATACATTCGTTTTATCCAATTTCAAGTTTCGTTACTTAAATTTATGTTATATAGCGTTCCGTTTAATTGCGTTTCTTCTTCTGCGACGGAAGCTACGAATACGCTGAACGTAAACATTTCGTAAACGTTTTCACGAAAAAACCTTCGATGCACAGTTTCATGGCTGTTGTAATTTTGAAAATAATAAACAACTGATTAGAATTAGATGACTAGGCCGCTGTCAGCTGTCATCTTTTGGCGGACAGGTTATTAAATCTTCGTTCCTTTGAGCTGAAGTACGTTATTGGCAAATCGCAAATCTATTTCGGAAGTTAGTCGCGAATCGAATATCTGTAACAATTCCCTTTTGTTTGGGACCAGCGTTATCTTCGATCAGATTCGGTGCTCTAAAACCATTGATTCGCGGCAACGCTTTACAGTACTCTAATTCATTCCACGGGCAAACTGAAAGCGTAATTTAAATGAATTACCCTTGAAGTTTAACGTCGTTTAGATTAACACAGCTGCTTGGTCCATTTTAAAAGATATTTGATGCCTATGTGTTTCGATGAAGATATTCGATTAAGAACCAGATTTTTGTTACGTTTGAACGAGGACCATTAAATTTGATTAATAGCGTTTGAAACAAAGTTATTAGTTTAATATTTTACGATATCCAAGAATCTGTTCGTTTCCATTCGGAGATTATTTAATTCCTATTTAAAACAGAATTTTTTTGTTCTCTGGGCAAATATGTAAAATACCGTGTATTTACAAGGATTAATATTTACTCTTTCTTTTTTTGATCGTTTAACTTCAACAAAAAAATAATGGAAATGTGAAGTTTTCAAATTTATTCAGTTAAAATTACTTTTTGATTTCGTTTAAATTTCTTTTCCCTTCATATTTTGGATATTGCTGCGAGAATTTTATTTAAAAAATACAGTTTAGTTAGATTTCGAAGGAAGCCGCGTTTATTATTGCATGTAAAATTATTGAAGATACGAAATTTTCGTTTTTAGTGATTTTCTATTTTTGGGTGAAAATTATACGATAACAAGGACGATGTTTGTCTCTTGTTCAGTATTTCAGATGTCACGATATCCAATAAGTTTCAAATACAGGGTGTTCCGCCACCCATGGGAAAAATTTGAATGGGAGATTCTAGAGGCCAAAATGAGACGAAAATCAAGAATATCAATTTGTTGATTGAGGCATCGTTAAAAAATTATTAACGTTTAAAGTTGCGCCTGTAGATAGGCAATCTGCGTACAGCTGCGTGCGCACGATAGTGGTTCTCACTCAGCATGAGTTCGCAGATTGTCGTTCTACAGTCCAAACTATAAACGTTAATAACTCTTTAACGAAGCCTCAATCAACAAATTCGTATTCTTGATTTTCGCCTTATTTTGGCCCCTAGAATCTCCCATTAAAATTTTTCCCAGGGATGACCTATCTTCTGTCTTGTTAGTAAGGCCCCAAGATACAGTTTCAAGATGAATACAATTTTTAAACAATTTTGTAACAAACAATAGGAAGTCAATTAATCGTAGTATTTTTCAAAGCAGGTGATGCTATAGAACATTTTTAACAGTGTATATTATGGATAACTCAAACTAATAAAAAAATAAAAAATCTCTTCTTATTAATAGAAGGAATATATTTTTCTTGCATTGTTGTCATGCCCATCGCTTTGAAAAACGTTGTGTTGGAAGGTATTGTTATCAATGTGCGATATTTTTTTAAACACTCGGGCAATCGTAATTTTATCTGGCAATGTTTGCATTTTTTATTACCACATATTTACTGATAAACCAATTCGTGGCCTTTCAAAGATATCACAACTGAAAATAAAAAAATTTTCTATAACTACGATGGGTTACTATCAAGCATACAATTTTAACAGTTTTAATCACATTTAGTCAAATTGTTCTCAAATAATTATTACTACTGATATTACTACTATTAGTATTATTACTCATTTCTCTAGTGTTTTTCTTTGCATAGTAAAATTGTATACTAAACTTTATCGTCGGGATCTCTGTTGTCGTGGATTCTGTTTATCATTTTTATTTTCGTCAGCTACTCTATAATCTGAATTCCTTCTTATTATGTTTGGAAGAGTTATCTCGACCTGAACTGTCCTTCAAAAAATTGTCAACAACTTACCTGAACTGACCTCCATTAAGTCGTCAACGACTGATTTGATAAGTCTACATGTTTGTTTTTCGTTCCTATTGTCGATGGTCTAATTTGAAGCATCACAAATTTTCTTTTAAAAGTTTTACTTTAGAGATATGTATTTTCTAGGATTTCTTGGAAAATTGCTCGTGAGCAGATACTTCCATGAGATAGAATCTTGGCAGATTGCCTCATCAAATTCAGTTTAATGTTCTAGTAACGAAGAAGCTGTTTCCTATGGTCTATCAAGTGTTTGTAAATATTGTGTGTTCGGTCACCCGTGGGAAAAATTTTAATGAGAGATTCTAGAGGCCAAAATAAGACGAAAATCAAGAATACTAATTTGTTGATGGAGGCTTCGTTAAAAAGTTATTAACGTTTAAAGTTCCGTCCGTATCGAATTTTTTTCTCGTAAATGCGCAGGATTTCGGGGGTATGTCTATTCACCAAAAATGATTGTAATTGACCCACGCAACTGAAAATAATTTTTCCAGAACGATTTGAAATTTTTTTTTTTTCGCCTAATTAGATTTTCGGCAAGGAATTTTTTTCTCGAAAGTGCGTAGGATTTCGGGGGTATCTGTAATGACCAAAAATGATTGTAATTGAGCCACGTAACCAAAAATAATTTTTTTTGTACGATTTGAAATTTTTGAATTTAATTGTTAATAACTTTTTAACGAAGTCTCCATCAACAAATTGGTGTTCTTGATTTTCGTCTTATTTTGGCTTCTAGAATCCCTCATTAAAATTTTTCTTAGGGGTGGTTGAACACCCTGTGTAAATACTATGCTGAATATGCGACGTAATATTCAAATTTAAATAAAGTTAATAAATCTAGAAAGGGATAAAATACGAATTGACTCCTTTTATTTTAAATCTGAATATTTCAGCAGACAAATGGTTTATATTAATTATACGAATTTATTGTCAACAAAAGTGATCGATCATGCATCCAAGGCGATTAATTAGCCGCGATATCGTAATACGTGTTATTACTTTTTGACAAGACAAATACAATGATGTAACGATTGTTAATTCCAGCGACTTAATTAAATTATTGATACAAAGCTTGGCTTAACGTTTCGTAACACGTATGAAACATTATGCTGTTCGTGATAAGCGAACTCGTAATAGATGTGGTCCACCTGTTGGTCGCCAACAGATGGTGGAGTTCGCTACCTAAACGAGCTAAATGAAACGATGAAACTTGCATTTGCTCGGGAATCTCGCCGTAAATCGCCGCGGTTCCGCTAGAGAGACTCTGCCCATGCAACAAATGATGTATTTCGTAAAAGATTCGCAAAATCATGCGTTCGACGTTGCATGTAAGGCCGTTTTTCTATTTAAGGAAAGCTAGAAGCGGGAACACCACGATTGAATAGTCTCCTGGAAAAATGGGCCCGCAAAACAAAATGACGAATCGAGTAAATTGCGTTGGAATTTTTAGTTCTAGTTATGCACCGTGTGCTGATCGATCATAGTGTCCCTTTTTTATTTTTACAAATAATAAAATGTAGAGGTTAGGTAACACTATAGGATTGAAACTATATTTTTTTTTTTTAATGAAATTAAGCTCTTAATTCTGTGGGCAGATGGAATAATTTTATTTGTCACTTTTTATGACATGTTAAATGAATTCTTGCAGTGCAAAGGGTTAATTAACTTTCACTGAATTAAGTAATTATTAAACTTAAATATATGTGGAATATTACATTATATAAATATTTCTCATAATTTTACTCCACGATTCATGAACACCCATCGACTCTCGTATTATCCGAGTTTTCAGTTATCCCTGGTAGGTTCACATTATCTCGGATAATCGAGACTACTGTGCATACGTTTCTGCGTATACAGCAATGCTTGGATAACTGCGAGTAATTTTCGATTGGATAAGTGGACGGTAGTCATTCTCGCTACTGAGAGGGAATTTTCCTTGATACACCAGGAAGCTCGATATTTAGCGCGTAGATTCGAATATCGGTGAGATAATACATAGTGCATAATGCAAAAATGAAACTTTTTTATTTTTGCTTCTTTCTTAATGAAACTTTTACCAATGTATTTGTGAGAGTTTTCCGATTAAAATAAGACCAAACACGATATAATTTGTTTTTAACCAACTTCTAATAAACCACAAAAT